TATTTGTAAGCTTTTTTGTAGGAGATAAAAACGGTCTGCCTTACTCATGTGGAGATGTTGGCAGTAACCTCCTTATTCATAACTCTTATTAATACTCAAGGGAGATGCATGAGTATCTGTATGTTTTACACTGTTGTACAAAAGACAGATCGCTTGTTTTAATGTGGGAAACTTCAAATTCCAAGTTTAGATTTCTTGGGAACAAGAACATAACAACACATAATTTAAAAGGTTTTATATTTCCAGTAAATTTGTTTTGTTTATTTCACTATTTAGCCTCTGTGAGCAAAAGAAGAATGTAACCAAATGATATGCAGTCTGCACCACCTATCTGAACCTCAGTCACTTCTGAATGTCAGTCTGTATCAACTGTTTCCTCCGTATGTTCTGGTTTTAGAGAGGAGAACTTTTGGAGACAGCCTGACAACGGGCCCTGGCAGGGGCAACAAGCGGTTCCTCCTGGACTACAACAGTCCCCTGCCTCAGAAACTGGCCAAAATCTCCCGGCACTCCACTGATGGTATGTTACTGTTACTACTTTTATCTACCCTGGGCCTCATTCCCCACCTCCATAAATGATAAACAACTTAATATTTAGACAGAGCTAAAGAGAATCATGATGACGATGTGATACCTTATTTCTCCTATATATTAGAGGATAATATGGCAGCTGAAGGTGCCCAGATGTTATCATACCCACTTTGTGCTTTGCTGGATCAGTGTATATTTGAGGTTTTCTTCTCCTCATTTCTGTTATATAAAATGCCATTGCATAGTATTTTCCTTTCCTTCCTACATTTGCGTGTGAAAAACACAAATTGGAAATGCGCTTAAATCATGGGATTTCACTGATTAAACAAGCCTTGCACTCACGTGTTGAATATTTGCTTATGTAATCAGTGGCTCTCAACTCTAATGCTGCACCACATTTTATATAAGACTTTTCATTCTAAAAATCATCTGCTCTGAGTTGTCCATTAAATCATATAAAAGAAGGTAGTAAAACAGAAGGAGCTCTTGGCTCAGGAGTGAGTGCTATTAAGTTCTGGGTCAGGAGGTTAATCATTTAATCATCTTTCAATTTCCTTAAATTTTAATTAAGTTAATGGAATATTTGAAGAGATTTATGTAAACGGGTAATATCCCCCTTAAAAGGCCCTTCCACTTTTACAGAAGGCCAGAACACGGTCAAATGACAGTTTTATGTTCTCAGGGTTACAGGCAATCTTACGGTGAAATGGTTCATGGTCCAGTCGCCACCCTAAAGCCTAATCACTGAAACGTCACAGACTTAGCTGACGTCACCCGCTTGCGTGTGAGAGGCTGCAAGGGTCTAAAGTTGCACAAATAGGAATGGGGACGGCACAAGCAGCATGAATTCATTGCGACATATTAGTGACATCTTTCGAAACACTTCTCAAAACAATACTCAAAAAAGCGTTTCATTAACTCTGGCACACCGTTTTGTTTTCCAACATGTCTTGTCTGTTTTATTATTAGAATTTATCTTTATTGTTTTGGGCTTTTACTTTATTTTATTTCTGTATTCTTTTATTTGCTAGATTTATTTGCCTCTGCACTGAAATATTTTCATTCTGGTTCAACTATGTAAGCACTTTGTAACTTTGTTTTTGAAGTGTTAAAAGTGAAATAAATATTATATAATTACATGACATTACTTTGACGATGCCAAAACATGTTCCAAAGCCTGCAATTGTGGGTTCCTTGGAATTTTATTTAAGATTTTTTACTTTCTTCACAACCAAGAGACTGCCTGATTTGAAAGTCTTACAGAGTGTACGGGAGGTAATTGACAATCAATTTACTTGTTTTCGTCAAAACAGCATCACACACTTATTTTAACTTAACTTTTAACTTATTTTTCCTTGTTACTTTTCGCATGTTTGTTAACACTTATCTGAAACATGTCTCGCAGTCTGTGAGTGTGGAGATAAATCAGTCAATCGAATTACTTTTGTGCTGCATTTGAACAACTATATATTTATATATATCATGTTAGATTGGTTGTTGCCCCCTTTCATTATTTTGGTTCATCTATGTCTCTACTTTATTTCACGGTTGGATCCTCTGTTTGCATTATCTTCAAGGCGAATCCTTCATGGAGAACAGTGTTGCCGTATCAGAGCACTTAAAGAAGAGCCCTCTCTCTCCAAACTCTTCGGTAAAAACTTCTGGCCTGAGGTCTCCCTCCAAGCTGCTGCATCATAACAACTCTACAGGTAGGAAGAGACGCTGATATAGGGAACATTGTTGCTCTCTACATTTGCTCAACATTTCAGTGCTTCAGTGTAGCGACTCAAATGTCTAAGTGGGCAATATTAAAACAGGATGGATGCTACTGCATTTCTGCAGGCGAGTTGAAAATGAAATACGATTCAAGAACTCAACTTTGAAGGCTTATCAGACACCAAAACACTGTATGGCGGTTAAAATATTTTTAAACACAAATTATAACTCTTTGTTTACATTACAAAGAAATCTCCATGGATTGTGCAATTTCACATATTTAATTGGCCAACGTAGCACTTTAGCACCTTAGGCTTTAACCAAAACAGCTTTTAAGGCTAATGAGGATACATTTAAATACTTGTATCACATTTTATAGTCGCTAAATAATAGACATAAAGACATTCTGTTTGCTGCAAGAGTTGTTTATTTACAAGATGAATAATGTTGATACATTTAAAAGCTGTCAAAGCTGGTCCCAGACAGTTGGAATTACATAGGTCGGGTAAAGGGTGCAGATAAAGTCCATAAACAGTGGACTGTTCTGTTTATACAGGTTTGTCGGCACATACTGTCTGTTTGGTTATACATTTTGGGTTCCATCCAGACAAATGCAGACATAGATGAGGAAATATTTTTTTGAATTGTATTTTGGTATTGCAAGCTAAAGTCTATGATATGCTTATATGCTATGCTTGGCCAGTTAGAGGATCGTTGCAAAAAATTGAAGAACATAACAGTATACGCACTGAATGACTGTCCTCATGGATTTGAGCTTGTGCTTTGAACTTTCAGGCTCAGGCAGTTTTCGAGAGAACCCGAGGCCGGGTGGTCCGGACCCCAACCTGTGGACAGTGGAGGATGTCATGCAGTATATCAGAGATATCGATCCCGTGCTGGCCCCACATGCTGACCTTTTCAGAAAACATGTATGTATTTTTTCATAATGGTGAAGACGCTTCAAATAACTGAGGTGTATACATTTTTCAGATTGTACTAGACATTTGTTTTTGTTTAGTACAAAATTTGGTGGACAGCTTTGCTAAAAAACAGTTCATTCAATTTCCCCTCCTTCCCTCTGCTACAGGAGATTGACGGCAAAGCACTCCTCTTGCTGCGTAGCGACATGATGATGAAATATATGGGCTTGAAGCTCGGCCCTGCCCTCAAACTCACCTTCCACATTGACAAGCTCAAACGGGCTTAAGGTCAGCCGACCAATCGTAGCCTTCCAAAGGACTAAACTCCAACCCCGCCTCCCTGTTCTAGGATCAGTATATCATGCACTGCATATTGGACACATTCTGACCATTTACATGTAGCAGCTTCCATCAGAACATATCTGGTATTATATACCCCTGTCCTGACCTCATCCAATGAGGAATGTTTATTTTGTGTAGCACAATCCAGCCCTAAGGCAGCATGGGATACGTAGGATTACCCACTTGTCCGTCATCTGTTTTGCATTTCAGTATAACTTGAAGAGTCATATGTGGCCATTTTAACTGTAAAGGGCTTTTTTGGCCTGCTTTTATTATGTTACATTTATTCTGAACATTTCATATTTTGTACTTCATGGATATATGGACTTGTATTTTTGCCTTTTTCAATGGTTTGTGTGGGACATGCTAAAAGAAAGAAAAGAAAGAAAACACTACATTCATCCCAATAGTTGGGAATGCCTCTGATTAATGTCTCTGTTTGAGGCACAATTTTGCAACTACAACAATATTAATTATGGGGAGAAAAACATTTTATGAAGAAAATAAAAAAAGAACACTTTATTCTGAAAATACTGCCATGAGGAAATCTGTTTCTTTTCTCTTATTCTGGATGTTGTTTACAATGCCTTGTCTTGTCTTTGTTATTTGTACTTTTTTAATTTTTTATACTATATTATTATAGTTCCTACATGGAGAGCCCTATCATACTTAACATTGTTCAATAAATATATAATAATTCAACTTCTCTTGGTTTATTTTTTCTGTGCTTTTTGTTCTGCGATGTCGACCTTTAAAGCCCTAATTACATCTTGTTTGCACTTGTTCTTACACTCTACATAGCTTGCTTTGTTTAATCATTTATTGAGTTAAGACAATATTTTGTGCCTTTAATATGCCTGACCTTTTCATACAGACTCAACATACAAATGTAGGGTTTGACAAGTCTGACATTTTGAAGCTGTAAAAGCTATATATATTAAGTATACTGAATAAAAGTTGGCAATTGCGTTTAAAAGCACATGCATATAGATTAATTACATTATAATTCCTTCAAAATTGTGTTTTGAATAATATATTTTGTGCTGTTGGTTTAATTTTTTACATTTTCGTAGTTCACCAACAGAGGGCAGCACAGCCCAGCCTACCTTTTTGCAGTGTCTCCTTGCTGTTTCTCCTTGGGACTCTGACACGCTTGGCCATGGGTGGCCATATCTCCATCTGGTAGAGTCAGCATGATAATCTCACGGATATTTTTATACCATGTAAAGATGACTTCATATGGTTTGTCATTCCTTTGTTGCTCATTTGTCAGCATTTCTCCTGTATTACTGTGTAGTTATTTTCCATTATTTAAAGACTCTTCTATGATTATGTGAACCTATTGTTCATGCTGTTTCTGGTAAATATTGCTGTCATTGTTTCTGACAGTACAGTGAGTGGGCTATTAGGCTTGTGGGTGAAAAAATGACTTGTGTCTACTGAAGCAGCTCAACACAAGAAATAAAACCTAACCACATCCTCCTAGTGAAAACAGGAAAACATATCACTTAGGGTTGAAAACGGTGACCAAACCCACTGATTCTAACTGACATGGATGTGTATGAATGCATGTCTCTGTGTGTGAGCATATGACACATGCACACAATCTGTGCTGTGTTTGTGTGTTATGCTCAAGCACATGTGACAAGCTCAGAGCTTGTGGCTGATGGCTGTGCTTGTTGATGTGTAATAGTAGCCAAAGTGCTATGCATGAAGCCAGTGCTATTTATAGAAATAACAGCTACTTGTGCTGCATATTGTGTTTGTGAAGATTGTGAAGCGAGTTTTTACTGTAGCTCTAACACCACAGTGGGGTCTTTATTAGGTGCCATTCTTGTTTCACTCATAGGGCAGCAGGCAGAGGCATCAAAGTATAAAGTTGAATAGTCAACATTACTGGTTCTCTGAAAACATACAAGCAAGATAGCTTATCTTTACTGTTATGACATATAGTAGAATTAGGTACATTGGGGAAATTCTGCCCCTGATATTTACCAACAATGCTGTACAGTGCTCCTGAGTCATCTACTGTCTTTGGCACAGCAGTTGTACATCATGTACAGCAGCGAGACAGTTTCAGTATGTATAAAAGGAAGTTTTGCGGGCTTGCAAATCAGTCACAACTGTGAGGAAAAAAAACGACTTTCTCTGTTCTGTGCTTCAGGTGTTATGTTATGGCATAGAAATGCAATATTTTCTGCAGAACCCGCCTGGCATGTTGCACTCTGCAGAAGTGTGGGCACAGTTAGAGAGAAACAATAAAGAAATAAGGTGCTCAGTCCACCACCTTCTCTCTAGCTAATACTAGAATTCCCAGCATGCCTTTGGGCTGTCAGTTGTGGTGCTCTCAGTAGGGGTGAAGGTCCTGCTGGCCTCAGATCCTAGTGTGCCTCTGAAAGCCCTGAGGCCTCAGTTATAAAAGAATGTATTTGTTATGTTGATCTTTGGATGATGTTTCCAGATTGTGCACACTTTTTTTACGGGTATCATCAAAATACTTTAAGAAATGTGAGTATACATCAACACGCTACATTCTGTACTATAAGACTTGTCTGTTATTGATCAGTCGAAGAACAAAACTTCTGAGGGTTTATATAACCTAATAATGAGGTATGGAAAAGAAAATGTAATCACACCTCAGAGGAATCATACATCATTTTTCAAACCACTGTTTTGTGCATGAAACACACACAAACACCTAGGTATAACAAATTATGTGCACACAATTTTGCCTAAGATTCATTCATATACATTGATATTATACTATATGGGGATTTCACCAGCAGGATAATACTTGTAAAGCCTGACAAGAACTGCTCTCTTGTATTAATTCCACCCCCCAGCCTATAGTCTGTTACTCTGTCTTTGGTAGCATGTGCATGCCACTGTCACCAGATTAGCACACAGGCTTAAAGCCCTGCTCACAAAGACACTGTGTACAGAACATAGCCTGTGCTAATACTGTTTCACTCTATTCTAACCTAAGAACCTGTAACTCTCCTAGGCGAGCCAAAATCATTTCCCTGCTCACATTAAACAAGTGAAATAAAGGTGACATCAATATGAACTTCTGAAAAAGCTTTGTAAAATACTGCCTTTGTGATGCCTGTAATGTTTAATCTTTGTTGAGACTGCCGGATTCATAGCCTTGCATTGCCAGACCAATTTGCAAATGCTCACAGATTTGTCTGGTTCCAAGGCTACCAGATTCACCTTTACATTATATTGTACAGTGAGATGTAATACCTGAACACATTGCTGACACTGTTTTTATTGTGTTACATTGCACAAGTATTGCTGTGAAATGTTAGTATTTCCTTGTGCTGGTTTTGACACATCAAACTGCAAAACAATAGTTTGACAGCTACTTTAAATTAATTTCAATGCTGGAAGTTTAAAATACATTATATAACCATTTTTCCATCTGGTAGTCAATGCAGTTAAAAGACTAACACATAAAGGACTTATTAAACAATTTTAAAACATTTTTTTTTACAAGGGATGTAACCAGCTCAGCCCTACTGTATATGTGCTGACATCAAGGTTAACTTTCTGCCACTACTGCGAAACCACAGCTCTGCTCTGTTTGGCCCAACTGTGTAAATCACACAACCCTTAAATATTTACCACCTTTAGACATTGTTGGGACACCTCGATGTGTTTGAGCTGGCTCGACGGAGAAGTGTCAGCTCTGTGCAGGAAAATAAATTATTTACACCCCCTCCTTCTACTTCAAAGAGCTGGCAAACCATTCAACCCCAGATTTGGGGAGGGGGGTTGGTGGAGGAGTTGCCAGTCACTAGGCAACCTGTGTGTCACCTGCCCCGACTTGCCAAAATCAGCCACTTACCTCTGGAGGCTGCATTCACAAGGTACATGGCAGCATTTAAAAGCCTCCTCAGCTGGGTTCATATGGAAAACAAAACAAGCACTGAGACACAGCTAAACTATGTGGCTCCGGGAAAGAAAGTGTGATGTGATTATATTGCTTTTTCCTTTCGTGTGGGAAAGAGGAAGAGTTTTAGAAGACGCTGATCTTTCCTAAAAAGGCCGGGAGCAGAATCCAACAGCAACATCTGACAAGGCCTGTTGCATTTAAATATCTGTGATATTTTTTTTTTTTTATGACAGGGAGGGAAGAGCAGCATCCAATAAGAATACACATCGAGTGGAGATACAAGGTGACTGATCAGCTAGAAAATCAGGAAGTTCGGCTTGTGCAACATGTCCACTGAATGAACCCTGCCCTGACGGATCTGCTGTTTATTTACCCCCTGCCAGCACACACACACACAGACACACACCCAAGGTTAACACAAAACATGCAAAAATCCTACAAACTGTCTTGTTAAAGCTGACAAGTTTAAACATGTGCCCTCTTAACACAATATTCACACACAGATAAAAACATGCCCCTTGTTGTCAATAAATAACTCATCCACTCATCTGGGAAACTCAAGTTTAGTTCTCACATTCATTATATATTCCACACTTTGCTTTACAGTTATATTCACACTGGGGGAATCTTGCCTTGCCCTGACTACTTCTTTTTAAATCTTAAAATAGGCACTCCAATGAAAGGTAATTATTATTAGTAAGGATTCCGTTTAGTCATACTGTTTCGACATTACAAATCTCCAGTATATCTCTATTAAGTAACATTTTCTGGATGTTGTTTCACAAATGGGATTTTCTCATTTACACCGATAATGGATCCAACCACAATCTACCAACATACTGTGGGTGTAAGGATCATAATGACCACCGATGAGACATAAATCCTTTATCTTCCCCTGGCTTCACACAGATATTGAGGTATCCCTGTTAGCCTGTTTGATCAGGTTGTGTGCTGATGCTGTGTGTGCGCATGTGAAGACCTGGCCATGCGTGACAACAGCAAATGACCACCTATCCATCATTGGCACTAGGGCCTGAGATTACCATGAGCTCAGGCTCGGCACCAGCTGGACCAAGGCCTGGAGAGACAGGACTAGATAATACGCAATGCATAGACATACAGATATACAGATATAGTGCCGAAGAGAGGAGTGTAATCTGGATTTGCATTTAGCACACCCCACATGGTGTTTATTGCGGAGACTTTATGGAATCATAAAAGTGAGTTGGGAAAACCCAGGTAAGAAATCCCCAGAAACTAAAAAAATAAACAAAAAAATCCCTCCACCTCATATCTAATTGTAAACTGGAGACATCCTTACATTTTCTCTCACCCCTCCTTATGTCTTCTCTCTTTCACTTTGTCTGCCTCTCTATCAGAATGTGGTCTCTGACTTATATTGAGAAAGCAGCAAGCTGCCACAGGAAGACGCAGTGTTGTGTTGAGTGTGCTGTGGGTGGGCTGAAAACGATTAAGAAAAACAGAAGTAACTGTAAACTTCTCAGGGTGTCCCACCCTGCTTAGCCTGCGTCTAGACTAGCCTCTGTGAGGCAGGCGGCAGTCATAACAAGGGATTGGGAGAGCAAACAGGGCTGTTTGGCGTCGTTAGCCATTCGCCTATGGAGTCACAATCAAAAAACAAAACCTCTGCATTTAATTGGGGCTGAACAAGGAGCTCACAGTGCAGCATACAATTATGAGATATATGAGGAGACAGAGTTCTGACGGTGTGCCAACGTGCCCCATGTGCCACACACCAGAAGACCATCTCACCAGATTGGCACTGAGTAAGGGACCTGCAACC